CTCTTCAACGCTGAGACACGAGCTTTCCATTAGGAAAGCGTGTTTGTAGGGTGACCTACATGTTGCCTAGTTTTCGTAAGGCCGTGCTAAAAGAACGACGAGCCTCATCCACACGTGAGTCTTTCTGTAAATATGCAGTGTGATCTGGGAATAGGGGCGAGGGGGGGGACGGCCGTTTTGAGACATGTAAACTAGAGCTCTTTGCCAGATCGCTCACTGGATCCAGACCCGTATCTTCTCGACTTGAAATATTCCTGCCACTGAATGTGGAAGGAGAGAATGTGGTTGACGCTGCGTCAGCCTCCATCCCGCGTGGATTCTGGGAAACGCAATCCCTGACAACAAATAACACTAGAGTCAGGGTTGATGTAAGGACCAATGATCAGATGTCGAACAATCTGGTCATCCAGCACACGTAGGGCGTTGGAAAACCCCTGTGGGGTCGTGTCCGTTCACCAAAACAATCTGTACAATTAGAGCAGTGACCAGATAGTTACCGTCAGTGACCGATCTCATGAAATGCTGACCGAAATTCCGGAATGCCTTTTCGACTCGAAAAGATTACTTAGGGGGGTTGTAATATTAAGCACCGTGCAGCATTATCCCATAATAATTTACTTGCTTCGGGATGCGGGCTTTCGAACGAACTTCTTTCAAGTCGCCTGAAAAAGCTACACTGTAAAAAGTGACTACTTAAATGGGATGAATTTTTCTCATTGTTTTTAGATGCCCTTGTAAATTCAAATATATTTTATAGAAAACATGCCCAAGAATTTCATTCTTTTACTTATTTCGTAGAAAATTACGTCTTCTTCAAATTTTATACTTAAAGAAAGGGTATAATTCCGTTTGGAAAAAAACGTTTTTAATTCTCGAAAAATTTTGAACACGACCTGCCGTTATATTCGTATTCAGGGTTTCCAAGCTCCAAGCTGTATATTTTCCCTGTTAGGAAAATCATACACTTCTCTACGGTATTAAGAGTATACGATATGGGGTTCCTAAAGTTTAACAGTGGATTTGAGCCATATTGTAAACTTTAAGAGCAACGCTGGTAAATGCAAAGACGCGATGCTTTATGAACGGGCATTTAGCGGTCTTTAAACATCGTATAATTATAAACTTTTTTTAAAACCGAATCATATCCTTTCTTCAAGTTTTTAAATTTAAAGAAGACACAATTTCCTGCCAAATGGGTAAAAGAATGAATATTTTTGTGCATGTTTTCCACGAAATATATTTGAATTTGTAAGCATCGAAAATCAGTGACAAAATGTCATGCTACTTAAGTACAGGGTGTAGTTCTTCAGGCGGCTTGAAGGGCGTTCATTCGAAAGCTGGCATCCTGCACGGTTACTAATATTACAATCCTACTTAAGTCATCTTTTGGAGTCTAATGCACATTTCAGGATTTCGGTAAACATTTCATGAGTTCGCACACCTACTGTAAGTGAGTGCCTTCTTCGCCCTCTTGGACGAACCGAGTTCCACCATATCTACGCACTAGTTACTGAGATGGTGTCGGCCTTGTGCCAGTGACGATTTCTGGCATTGTAAAACTCTCCTGTGGCCATACCTTCCCGGCAGTGTTGCTGCTCCTTTTTTATGCATTAGTAGTATGCCACACTGGGTTCAAGTGCTGCGAGTCTGTATCTGACTGCGACTTGCCTCTCGTGCTAGTCTATGAAATGGACTGTCCCATGGTTTGTAAAAGTCTGCTGATCAGAAAACCATGGACCTCGCGGCCCAGTGTACGCTGGCAGTTCTTCGGTGTCTGGTCCTCTGGCGGTACATGTGCTTGGGCTTACCCTGGGTATACAGGCCGTGTGCACGACTGTCCAGTCATCAACGTCTTTTCTGTTGGTCAAAGTCCTGATCGAGTGTCTGTTGTGGACCAGGCGGCGTGGAGTAGAGCGCCAAGGTGCGGATTCTGCCGCGCCATCCACCTGCGCCCTCCCCCGCGTCCGGTATTCTTGACACTGTCTTGACACCAGGCCCAGGTGGGGGAGGAGGAGAGGGTGCGGGAGATGCTTCGCAAGTCCGCCCGTGCAAACCACCGTGCCTGCTTTCACGTTGCTGTGGAGCACACGATGGATATCGTCGGATGCGATGGTCGAACTATCATCTATTGGTTGTCTGATTTTATCGTTAACAAAAATCAGTCACAGGTTTTTCCTATATACCAGAATCAAATGCGGAGCCTTGTTTAGAGGAGAAATCGTAACTTAAAACACTGATACATTCGGTTTCACAGAGATCAGATGCACTTTTCAGTGCTACGACAGATATGCTATCTCATGCAATGTTGACCGAAATTCTGGTGTGCGGGTTTTCGATTCGAAAAGATGACTTAAATAGGGTTTTAATACTGATTTCCATATAGGTATTTCAGGTATACAGGTATTTCACTCGTGCTAGGATGCCGGCTTTGAAACGAGCTGCTTCCAGACCGTTCACAAAAACCTCTTTCCGTAAAAGATGACTTCTTACGCCAGTGCAAATTTTTTCATTGACTTTTGATGTTCTTATAAATCCAAATATATTTTATAGAAAACTTGCACGAAAAATTCTCCTTGTTTACTTATTTGGGTGCAAATTACGCCTTCAAAAGGTTCACTTTAAGGTTGAGTATCATTCCATCTTAAAAAAATACTTTTTTAGTTCCCGAAAGTGCTTTGGACCCAGCCTTCCGTCACAGTTGCACTCAGGGTTTCCAAACCACAAGCTGCATATTTTCTGTGCAAAACAAGCATGCATTTCTATACGCTACTGAGAAGACATCACACGGGGCTCATAGCATTTTGCAGTGGGTCTGGACCTTATTGTATACTTTAGGAGCAACATTTATAGATGTAAAGATACGGTGTTTTATAAATGAAAATCTCACGGTCTTAAAAAATCTTCCAATTAAAACCTAATTAAAATCAGAAGATGCTCCTCCTTTGTGCACAAAATTTAATTAAGACCTTATTCGCTGCCAAATGAGTAAAGAAGGAGAATTTTTGTGCATGTTTTCTATAAAATATATTTGATTTGTATGAGGACATGGTAAATCAAAATTACTAAACTACTCACTTTTCACAAGGTGTACTTGTTGCAGGCGCCTGAAAAGGAGCTGGTTCAAAGGCCAGCATCATTCCGTGACTGAAATATATGGAGATTATACCGCACGGTAATCAGCATCACAACCCTATCTAAGTAGTCATTTTGAGTCGAAAACTAATTTCAGAATTTTGGTTGACATTCCATGAGATCGTAAATTCATTGTATGCAATGTTTAAAACGCTATTTAAAAAAATCGCATTGTGAGTCCTGATGACCTTTGCTCAAAAAAAATTGGGCCATAAATTATTCCACTCAGCAATATTTTCACTCGGTGAACTTGACCGCAATGCACCTATCACAGATATACGGTAGTACAAACTCCAAGCACGCCCCCCGGCTCCTCGGATGCCTGAGTCACAAATTGCCAGTAGCAGTGTCTTACAAGCTCATTGGTAAGACCACTTGAATCCAGCCGAGGCTGTTTCTTGAAGTCTTACGTTGAGCTGGTCGACCGGCAGCCCTTAGCCGCATTATTTTCGCTTGTTGATCCCACTCACTGATGCGCCGAATGGGTGAGTGAAGATGTCCCCTGTTTACGACTGAAACTACCGGAAGCCATCCGCCGTCCATCCATCAAGTCGTTTCACCCAACCGCTGCTGTTGTGCGGCTAGAGGACAGGAACGCGTCCGCGCGCCGTGGTTAGGTATGCCCAATTACACGGGCATTTTATGTGCCTCGACTCTCGTAGAGCAAATAGGCTCCTCGATTCTCACTATAACAGGCCCAGGTAGATGTTGGCGTTGTTTTTAAGTCTGCAGATGGGGGGGGGATTGCGATTTGAGAGGGTATGGTCGTTGTTTGATCTTGGAGACATCTTGCTGCTCCACTAGCTAGTAGTAATTTTTGCTCTGGTAGTTGCAAGTGGTGAAACCGCCGTCTTGTTTTTAGTCGAAGAGGCAGACGTCTTGGGTTGTAGACGAGGTCCTGGAAACTTAATGAGCTCCTATCAGATTTCAGCGATGGTCGTGACTACTGTGCCCTGGGCCTGGCTGGGAAGCAAAGTGCTAAGCGGCTCCCCTTTAAACTACATCTAGACCCCGATTGCGCTCCACATATCCGGCCGCTCAAGGACCTTCTTTTGGCAGAACCTCAGCAGGAAAAGTATCACGGGTGGCCCTTATCTACGATTGTCTCTGATGATGTGTTCGAGTGAGAATCCGAAATGTCAGGCCAGTAAACTTCTTGTTCCAGTGATCGCATCTTCTTCCGGTCTGTACCATCTGTTCTCTGCGTATTGGGACTAATGTGTTAGCAAAGAAGCAAAAGCTAATAGCCAGCCATAGCTTGTCATTTTGGCGATGAGTAGTTGCGCTTTCGTGTTCCGACTTCGGAGATCGCAGTAACCCCGGGTCGGACTTTTCTAGGAAACTGTAGCTTAGAGTACTCCAGCTGTCTATTTTTGAAATTCGTTGCATTTTGACCGCTCTATCTCTCACTGCCATCCCTCTGCTCTCCTCCGCAGCCGTTGGGTCGCCTTCAGCCACCGCCTCCCTTCTGCGGGGTGTAGCTGAGCTGGGCATATCAAAACTCAGTCGTTCTCTGTCGCGCAGTCAGAACTTGGTCGCGGAGGCAAAACCACAAGCGCCTGCTTCTACTCCACCCGCACCTACGGCGGCCATCAGCGCCGCTTCACAGAAAGTGGGCAATTTTCTCAAAGGTACGTTTTTGCTCTGTCGCTTGTGTCCTACATTTACGAGGCCATCTTCTCATTTGGACACCCATCCCACGTCCGCGTGTCCTTCGGCGAGGCAGGGTTGGGCGCGGTAGGCGGGGGCACGCCTATCCCAACACTGGGCGCGCGTAGACGGACTTTTCATCTATCGCGCAATACGATCCTTCGGAGGACCAAAGCCAGTTTTCGGCCCTATGGCTGGATTACCCCACAATGAAATCCCGACCCAACAGTTGGAGTGCTAACGGACTAAGTGGAACGTCCAGACACCTAGGTCTTTGTGCGTGTCCACTTCTTTTAGTGGAACCCCATTTATGATGTACTGGTGTTTTGGGAGGCGCCTCCGACCAGATTCTAGGCGCAAAACTACACATTTGAATCTCCTGCGCGATCGATGAAAAGTCCGTCTACGCGCTCCTCCTGCTCCTGCTTCACAGAAAAATGGGCAATTTTCTCAAAGGCGCGTTTTGGCTCTTTCGCTTGTGTCCTACATTTACGAGGCCATCTTCTCATTCGGGCGCCCAACTCTCCAGCTCTCTTGATCCAGTATTAGGTCATGACTGGTTGGGAACGGCAAATACTCTAGACATGCTATTCCATGAAATACTAACCGAAATTCTTAGCTGCGCTTCAATTTGGAAAGGTTGTCATTGTTGATGATCTTATCGCGTTATGCCGAGATATTCCAGCTTTGACAGAATACCGGCTTCCGAAGGACCTCTTCTTAACAGCTTCTAGAAAAGTGCGATTTTACTTGCACGAAATGCATATAGCTTGCAGTTTAGAAACCTCGAAAGCAAGTGTAATAGCAGGTCGGGTTCAAAAGTATACGGGATTTGAGAAAGTTTTTAAAAACCGAATGGTATTTTTCCTTCAAGTATAAAGTTTTAAGAGGACGCATTTCTTTGCAAAACGTGCATGAGAAAGAATGTTTTGTGCGCGCTCCCTATAAAATATACCCGAATCTATAAGGGCAACGGAAATCAACGGTAAAAATCACACTATTTAATTAGTCATTTTTGCAAAATATAGTTTTTCGTAGGCGGTATATAAAAATCCCGTTTGGAAGTGGGCATCCCGACGTGATTGCGATATTGATGGTTAGTATGCCAGCCTTACTTAAGTAATTTTTCCCAATTGAAAACGCATTTTTAGAATTCGCCTAACATCACATGAGATCCAAATGTGTAGTCTTGCGCCTAGAATCTGGTCGGAGGCGCTTCTCAAAACACCAGTACACCATAAATAGGGTTCCATTAAAAGAAGTGGACACGCACAAAGACCTAGGTGTCTGGACAAGTTCGAACTTGCTGCCCTCCGAGCACTGCAAAAGAGTCATCCAGAAGGCAACCAGCATCATGCACTGGATTAGGAGTGCCTTCACAATGTTTCCTCCAGAAGTCTTCTCACAGATAATCGGCACGTTCGTCAGGCCGCATTTGGAATACGGAATGCCAGTAAGGATGCCCTGGATGAAGAAAGACAGTGATGCCATAGTGCAGGTGCAACGATGGGCCACAAAACTGGTGGACGGTCTCAGGACTCTGTCATACCCAGAAAGACTGATCCAGCTAAACTTGTTCACCCCTATCCAATAGATGAATGAGGTGTGACCTGTTATGGACATTCCGCATTATCCACGGGCACGAATGTTCGCTAAAATCTGAAGACTTCTTTGAATTCACGACCATGAGTCACCTGCGCGGTCATCCGTACAAAGTCAAGCGGGAGCGTACACGCCTAGACCATCGGAAGTTTTCCTTCAGCCAGCCTGTTGTTAAACAGTGGAACTCATTCCCAAGTGAAAAAAGGGACATCTGATACAATGGCAGTTGGATCGTTCGATCGTTGATAAACGAGGACTCTCACTGCAGGACTATCTGCGGCCAGCCATAAATTTTATTTCCTGATTGCATCCCTATATAAGGCATCCCTGACGTTTCATGAGATTCCCCCTCGCAACCTACGCAAATGACTGCACTTTATGCTGATTGTATATAATTGCTCTTAAAATTTCATATGCACATGGGAAAGACCGCCGGCTGCACCCTTCGCAATCCAGTACTGTAAAAACGTTTTCCGTAAACTAATGTGCTACTGGCAAAATGTTACTACAACGTGCTTTTAACATTTATATTGTACGCACCGTTCTCTATAGGGTCATCAAGGGCATTGCCTACTACCCTAAAATATACTATACTACTGTAGTAAGCTCACAGTGGTAGTTTATATTTCCCTGGGGAGTTATCAACAAAGCTTACCTCCCACCACTGTCTTCCCTCCTCGTTAGGCTCACCTCCGACATCCTGCGCAAACATCTATGCTCAGCTCTGGAGCGCCCTGCTTCTACTCGTTAAAGATCCCTGCCCGTCCGTCTCAGACCTGGCTGCACTTGTTCTCATGTACATCCTTCAGAAGGTTCGACCCCTTTTTTCGCCAGTTGATTTCCTGCACTAACTGCCTGTTGTTTTGTGCTGCCTAACTGGGTGTAGGTCTTCTGTCTAGGGTGCACCTGCAGGCTTGTTTCTGTCAAAGAATGGATTTTTGAAAAGGATGCTCCTCTCATAACTCACTTACTCTGAAAACCTTTGTAGGTGGCTCATCTGACGACATCTTAACCGGAATTTTTGAATGTGCCTTCGATTAGAAGGGACACCCTAAGGACACCACTGAATAGTCCCACGATATTTTGGCCATGGCAGAATGCTGGTTTTTAAATGAGCTTATTCCCACCAACGGGTCTTTAGAAGTTAACGTGTATTTTATAGAAAACATGCACGAAAATTTGTAGCAAATTACGTCTCTTTCAAATGATACCAATTGGCCTTAAGAATTCTTTTTAATTTCTGTGCATTTTTTGAAGCTGACCTGCCGTTTTCAAACTACTCGCTGTGCACTTTCCTATGTGTCTCTATGCTATTAAGAAGATAAAATTTTTTGGTTGATATGGGCCGTATTGTATGCTTTATTAGCTCGAAGAAGAACGAGTCCTTTGGGAAAATGAACAAACTTCATTTCGTAAATTTTCGAGTCTGGTTCCCCGGCTCGTCTTCAGACGTGTAGTAAGTGTGAAGAAACAGCCAAAATTTAAAAACGATAACTGTTCTCGCGTTAAACTTTCTCGAATAGCACACTTTTCCCACCGTCTAGCGCGTAGCAAGACTTCGCGCTCGTAATTCATGCGTATGTACTGGAAGATGGGCATCCCAAGAAACATAATTCGAAGAAGAATGAGTCCTTTGGGAAAATGAACAAAGTTTATTACGTAAATTTTCGAGTCTGGTTCCCCAGCTCGTCTTCGAATTATGTTTCTTGGGATGCCCATCTTCCAGAACTTTATCAGCTGTATGAATTGACACTTCACGATCTTAAAATACCCCCTAGTTGGAAGCTGTCGGTGGGGGTCGAAAACGCGGTCCTGATTGATCAATAAATGATCACTTTTGTAGTATTTTTGATTCCAGTAGCTGGTCAAAATTTATCACTTTCGTACTATTATTGATTTCAACAGGCTCATTGCTACTTCCGGATTCCCTAAATTTGAAGTGCTTCGCGGGCTGTGACGATCATGGTCCGCAATTACGTTAGGGTCCGGGTTTTGCGGTTAGCAGTTGGGTTATGGTTAAGGTTTAGCGTTGGGGTTAGGGGGTCATTTGGTACCCACTTTCTACGACATCCACTTGCGGCTTAAACCGGATTGGTCACATTTTTGACGGTTTAGTTTCGATGACCTTGGCGGGGAATTTGCTCTACTGGTTGCCTGCAGTGACTTTTTTATTGCGCGCTGCTTTTGCTGAGATTTTAGTGCCCACTATAACAAACTGGCGTATTTGCCTATAATACCTGCGTTTTCCCTTAATTTTCCCGCAGCCCCACCCGCAAAGCCCCTTTTACCTCGACCCCCCTATTGGACGCGCATGGGCTTTCCTATTTTTCAGTAGGACCGCGTTCCGTGCCTGAGAAGGCGTATTTCTCTATTAATTAGCATAAGAAATAATACGTTTGGGCATGTTTTCTATAGATTATGCTTAAATTTATAAGGGCATCGAAAATCAATAGGATAAATCCATGCCACTTTTAAGCAATCATTCTTTACCTAATGCGGTTTCGGCATACGACGGAAAAGAAACTCATGCGAAAGGAGACCTCCTGAGGTGACTGATATAGTCGGATTGTTCTGTATGTTAATCAACATGACGCCATCACCTGAGTAATCCTGTCTAATCGAGAGCACATTTCGTGGGTGGCATACGCCACCTATATTATTGCCTTTTTGAAGCTGTAATTCGTCACTACTTTGACCGGTATTTCACGTCCACTTAGCCCTGAATTTCTCTCAATCGTAATCATGCCATTCTTCAATCTCCACACTTACAGTGCCACTTTTCCTCATTTTAGCTCGTAAAAAAGGTGAGTTGTCTCTTGTGGTTTTTCGTCTTATTTCAATGCACTCGCGTCCGTCTACATGACTCCTATGTCGGGACCGGATGTCCCGATTTTTGCACACAATTAATGCTATTGAATTTTCCCCCTCCCCCCTTTTATATAGCACGGTCTGGATACGGTCATCTCGCTGTCTGATGGGACCGTTCGCATTGACGCCTCCACTAGCGCCTTCGAAGATGGCGGCGACTACGCTGCCAACAACACCCCTTCAGACAGGGGTTCGCCCAACGTGTAAACGCCCTGTCTACTTTCCTTTTGTTTTCTCTCTTTTCATCGATATTTTGGCAGATTTTTGCGCAATTCATATTGACCCAACTGTGAAAAACTCGGCGCCTCGGTGGGATTTGAACCCAAGCAGTAAGGGGAAGGCTTTTGTACAGCCAACGCTGTAACCACTTGGGCTGCGAGGCCCCGCCGGACGACGCGAGTTTAATCACACTTGGGTCAAGTTACCCTCCCTCTTTTATTTTCCTTCTTGGGCCGACTCACTTGCCTGCACACTGTGCCCGTTAGGTATGGATCACCGTCGGAATCAATGGTCGTTTCCGCCACCGCCTCCTCTTCAAACCTCCTCATCCACTCTGCGCAGTTCCCCAGTCGACGGACAAGGCACCCTGATCCAGCACCGCTTCAGGAATGCCCTGTGGGTCCCCCTTTTATCATAACTGGGCGGAAGTAAAGGACTATTTGGGGTTTTTTTATAATCCGGGCAGATTTTGGTAGTCTACTCACGGTAGTTTTTTTCATGATCAGCGATGTTTCGCGTCTCCGCATTGAGCGAAACTAGCTTGCTCAAATCTGCCCTACGCTCTTGCATTACAATGCGAACCCAGTATAGCCCGACATGGCCACACCCACCCGGAGCTCTGTCCTATAGTTTTGAGAAGTAGACCTCAGAGGGGGATCTCTTACTCCAGCGAACGCCGGGGGGTCATAGGAGTATTTTTTTAAACGGGGCTACTCTGCACAGGAGAAAATGAAATGGAAGGCGCTGAAGGCACGACTAGAGACCTAAAAAAGGAAAAGGAGAAAAGAGGCTGGTAATGATGAACGGAGTGATTGTTCGACGATAAAAGCCCCTCCTGTGGAGGATGCCCGTCATACTGACGAAAGTCGCACGGCCGGGCATCTAATTCGACGCAAAGATCTGCACAGAATTAAGTTCTATTGCGGAAATGTACAAAGCCCCTCGAACGAATTCGACGAACTCAGAACCACTGTGGCCGAGCTGCGTCCTGATGTCATGGCATTTGCTGAGACATAGGTCACCCAGGAGGTCGAAGACTCCTAAATGGAAATAGACGTATATCAAGTGCTAAGACGAGACCGAATCAAAAGAAGAGATGTGGTGGACTTGCCCTGTATATCAGCAATGTAGTCGAATATACAGCAAGTGGGCTAACTCATGAAATGCCAACCGAAATTCCGAAATGCGTTTTCCTTTCTAAAAGATTAATTAAGTAGGGTTGTAAAACTAATCAGTCTGTAGCATATTGCCATGATAACTCAGTTACCTCAGGATGCCGGCTTTTGAATGAACTTCCTTCCTGCTGCATGCAAAAATTACACTTTGTAAAATATGACTACTTATATAGCATGAATTTTTCTTATTGATTTTCGACGCCCCAAAAATCCAATTATATTTAATGGAAAACGTGCATAAAAATATTCATTCTGCTCATTCGGTAGAAACTTACGTCTTCCATTTTTTTTTACTCAAAGGAAGGGTATTATTCGGTTTTCAAAACTTTTCCCATTCCCGAATAATTTTGAACCCGCTCTGCCGTCACACTTGCATTCAGGGTTTCCAAACTATAAGCAATGTATTTTTCACGTACAGAAAATCATACGGTATTGAGAGGAGACCGAATGGGGTTCATAAAATTAAGCGTTGGATGGACTTGCCTTGTATAGCAGCAATGCAGCCGGTCCTATTCTCTGCAATATCTCGTAAACCAATCACTTATAAGCACTGTTATTTACACCGCAGCTAGTTTTGGTAGAGTTAAATAAGCTGGATCCAGCCAAGCCATCTGAACCAAATGAGATTCCAGTTGTCCTACGTCAGATAACCGAAAAATTAGCAGAACCACTCTGTATAATCTTCCATAAATCGCTGGAAGCTGGTAAACTTCCGGATACATGGAATTAGGCAAATGCACCCATCCACAAGGTAGGATCACGGTTCTATCCTACCAACCACCGGCCGCTAAGTCTGGCATACATTTACTGCAAGCTGATGGAAAAGCTAGTTAAAAAAAACAATTACATCGCACGATATATTCCTCTGTCACATCAGAACACTTCAACATGTCTTCTGTGAAAAGAAGTCGTGCCTCACTAGCCTGCTTACTTCGCTCAAACATTAATCAAAGGCCCTGGGAGTAATCTTCCTTGACTTCACAAAGACGTTTTATTACTTTCCACATAAACGTCTCATTCAAAAGTTTTCAGACGTGGGGATAGATGGAAATCTCCTAAACTGATTTCAAGATTTATTAAACAGTCGTAGACAAAAAGTTGTTGCCGGTAGCTACTGCTCAGGATGGGTCTCTGTTAAGTGCTAGGTCCCACAAGAGTCGGTTTCGGTACCGATCATATTCATTATCTACGTGGTTCCATTCCTCAGAAATGTGGATGATTTACCGCCCATCTGTGAGAATAATGGATATCCGCCTTTCAGTGACCCGCATTTGGAGCCTTATGTAGACTGAATTATGGCTCTGGCATGACTGCAACCGCATCCTATGTTAATTTATTAATTACGACGTCTAATTCCTGGGACGCCAATAAATGTCTTTCCTGGCCTCATGCTGACGGAATATTCTTGTTCATCTATTCAGGCTTCCGAATCTCAACGGAAGGCACGTGACGGTGGTATAGAGAACGTGAAGACGGAGTTCTTCGCTTGGGCTTCTCGTTGGTTTACCCAGCCTCTTCTACAGAAATACCCCTCGGCGTTGACTATTGGCTCCGGTAGGTGCCTGATGTTGATTGGTTCCTTGCCAGCTCGCTCTTATAATACGCCGCGTAAAGTCGTTCATCCTAACTGTTAGCTTTTTTTATCATAGTTAACCGTTGCCCCTTTCACCAAATTTGGTATGAGACGTTAATATTCAAAGTAGTTGTCACTGCGTGAGGGGGATACGGTGGAAGACGTATACAACCTCTGCCGTTGTCTGGCATTTTTCACACCACGTCTGGGTGAGGTTCATCGCGCCTGATTAGGGGACGACGCACTGTCGTTTCATCCTGACTCGCAGTTCTGACGGTCGGATGACGACGACCAGTCTTTAATGTGCTTCCCTTATTTCCTCTCATTCCCACTCTATGAAGTTTTACGTTACAAAGCATGCTACTCCCTATATTTTAGTAACATTGCGTTTTGCCTTTTACGCTATCTCCTGACTGAAGCAGTTGCGCTTGCTTCGGTACTACTTGGTCCATTCAGTACTGTACTGCTTATTGTACAATTTTGACATAGAGGGCATTCACAGACAAATTTATACCAGTGACCAATGCTTGTTGTATGCAATTACTTACCTAATTTTCTTTGACACTTACCTTGCACACTGTTTTTTATGACGTTATTGTAACCAAAAGGGAGTTTAAAGGCGCTCGCCTACCTTTCTCTTAATAAATCTGATCTAATCTGATCATGATTGTCCTTTTTGTTCTGTTTAGCTTCCTCTCCAGAGAAGGCCGCAGAAGTGACCACAACCAATTCGTGTCAGTTGCAGACAGCGTTCTCGAAATCCGTTTTATCAGCCTCCTCCTCCTCCGCTACCTCCCTGACCTCAACCAGAACGACCAGGAACAAAGCGCAACAGCGGCACCCCTTCACACCACCGTGTCTGGCCTCCCTCAGTTCTGTCTCTGGTGACCCACAGGCCGTGGCTTTCTCTAGCCGTGTGAACCGTTTCGTTAACTGCATGGCCAGCCGCCAGTCGGGTCGAGCCCGCTGGCACGCCATCGCCACCAGGCGAGACATCAAAACCGTCACTCCTTCCACTACAACCACCACCGGCACCCAACCCCCTGCACCCTGCCCTGTGGACTACAATCGGCTCTGTCGATCATCCTCCCCCGATCTCAGTGGATCGAATGACGGTCCGCCGCGCTGTTTTCTGCCCCGCAGCGGCTCCGGCACCAGCGTTTCCTGCAGCGACCAGATTATCACACGAGTGGTTGAGACTGCATCGGAGCCCGGCGCGTTGCCACACTCCCTACAGCTTCTGCAGGTTTTCAATTCGCCCGCCAATCAGTGTCCCCTACTGGCCCGTTTCCACCCCTACCGACCGCACCTGGTGGTCGCAGATGCTGCCGGCGTCTCGGTGTGGGGCATACGCCGGGCGGAACGTGTTCAGCGTCTGGTGAGCGGCGGCGGTGGTGGCGGCAGTAGCTGGTACAGGGGAGGGGGTGCCGATGAAGTCGGCCTCGAGGACCTGCTGGCGTACGAGCTGCGCACGGGAAGGCGTCTTGCACCCGGAGAGCCGGTGTCTATCGTGAAGTCTCGGTAATTGCCGTCTGTTTATCTTGCAGTGATCATGCGACAGCAGCATGTTCTGAAAACCCCTAGTCACGTTGTCAGGAATAAGAGGACAACTTTTTGTTAACGGGCCACCTCTGGCACCTTTCAGAAAACAGGAATCGGAAGGTCCCTTTCGAGTACTACCGCTGACGTAAGCCGGATGGACCGTAAGGGGAGTCTGTCTACACAGGATGAATCATCAGAAGCGGCCAGTAGTCGCCTGTGGACTCCGATCGCTTCCTAAGTTTGTGAATAGATCAAGATCGGTGAGATCTTGCAGCAGTGATGCACCTTAACAGCTGAGAGCCGCATTAGGAGCCCACTAGCACGCTTTCTTGCCAAGCGTGACGGCGGGCGTATAGCCATCAGTCTCCATCCAATAGGGCAGTCGCAGACCTGACTTTTGGTTGCCTTAGTTTGCATGCGTTGCAGTTCTGAATTTCTTCAGAAAACACGGCCGCATCACTATGCAGGTTCCTTTATGTACCTGCAGACAAACCCTCCAGCCGTTGCAGGATATCCAGACTAAAAATAGGTCAAAGCCAGGGCATTACGAAGTGGGGGATCGAGGGGGCTATGGTGTCGAGAGTAGGGCGGTAGACCTGCAGTAGTCATATACTTAAAGCTTGGGAAATCCAGCATTCATATTGCTCCAACTGTGAAAAACTCAGCGTCTCGTTGGGATTCGAACCCACGACAGTAAGGGGAAGGCTTTAGTACAGCCAACGCTCTAACCACTCGAGCTACGAGGCCGCGCCGGACGACGCGAGTTTAATCACATTTGGCTCAAGTGAATTACTTAGGAAATCCTGCCTGGGCAGTCAACTTACTGTATCAGATTTGGCGGATTCCAGACTTTGCAGTAGGTTTGGCGGGTAACTTGACCCAAATGTGAATAACCTCGCGTCGTCCATCGGGGTCTCGTAGCTCAGGTGATTAGAGCGTTGGCTGTACTAAAGTCTTCCCCTTACTGTCGTGGGTTCGAATCTCACCGAGACGCCGAGTTTTTCACGGTTGCGTCAATATGAATTATTCAAAATTTGCCAAAACATCTATAAAATTCAGCATTGCCATAAACGGTATTCCGGAGATCTTTGCGTTCTTCCTGTCCAGTTTAAGGGTTGTCCTAGGTAGATTAGTCCATCATGCTTGGTTGAAAGTCACACCGAGTGTCTTAGAGCATGAAGTGACACACAGCTCCGGGTGACGGTAGCCGATTTGTGCATAGCCATCCAATGGAAGTTCTGGCTCATGTCTTACAGACGAACTGGCGGTGCTGCGGCACGCGTAGACGGAGGTTTTAGGCCAGGCGGCCATTCATAGGGGAGAAGCACTTCGAGACGCCCTGTTTTAATTCAGATTCGTGCACATGTACACGCCTAGCCACCACCTCCACCCAGTCTCGACTTTGTCTTGTCAGTGGAGTACCATGAACGTTGGAAGAGAGTACGAAGCGCAGACCGCGCACACCTCTGTCACGCGCAGACAAGCCTCCGTCGTCTGGCCACCTGCGGCATGCGAAGCAGCACGCCCTCCCTTGGAGTGTCTTTTGGGGAATCCGACTCAAAACACTGTGCATGTTTTTAGACACTTACTTCCGAGTTAATGTCCTTTTCCCTAATGTTACTTGTGAAAAGTAAATGCCCTTCTTAAGCACCACCTACTACTACCTGGTGGTTCATTGAACTTCACCGCATTGTTACGCGCAATTGTGCCGGCCTAGTTCTCCTGCTGACTTTTTGCTCCTTTTTTATTTTTACAAAGCCAAACGGGCGGCAGACTGACTGGCCTGGAAATCATCAATTCCAGTGAAGAGCGCAGTCTCGTCCTAACCGCCTCCGCAGATGGTCGTATACGCGTTTGGAAGAACTACGACGGGAAAAAGAATATGACACCCGAGCTTGTGACTGCTTGGTATGCACTGGCGTCTTTGGCGCCTTTTGGTTGACGTCCGGTCGGAAAGATTTGAATTGTCAATTTTTCGGCATGACTTTAGTTCGTTCCTGCCTCCTTTTGGTGCCTTATTGTTTTGTATTGTTGTTTGTTTGTTAATTGGCCAGTTGTGGGCTGTCATATTCACCCGTTAAATAAGTGGGTCGGATAGTCATCTGGTGGATTTTAGATTGATTGCTTAGAAAATCTAACTTGGGCGACTAGCATACTGTATCAGATTTTGTGACAGTTGATCACATCTGCGATTTTCTATCTGCCAGTCATCAAGGAACTATTATTAAGGTGCACATTAAATGTGCAATTCCTTTTTGAAAACCAACTCTGTAGGTCAATAGACGGCGTTGCTATGGGCTCGCCTCTTGGACCGCTCTTAGCCGATGTCTTCATGGGCAAGCTGGAGAAATTTCAACTAAGCGATCAGATCAAAAAGCTTAAACATTACGGTCGCTACGTTGATGATATCTTTGCGGTTGCAACGGCAGAAACCGACGTTGCTGCCTTCCTAAATGCTGTAAACCGAGCATATCCATCAATAAAATTCACGTTGGAGATGAAATCGGCCAGTTTGCTTCCTTTCGTAGATGTTCTTCTAAACAGGAGATCTGACGGTAGCATCCGAAGGAGCGTCTATCGGAAGAAAACCTAGGCTGGACAATACACGAACTTCGCTAGTTTCGTACCTCTCTAACAAAAACGAAATCTTGTCGGGTATTTGGCACAAAAGGCTAGAAAAGTTTTTTCAAGAGACGGTATCGAGGAGGAACTTGGAAAAATCCAGGACTTGCTTCGCGAAAACGGGTATCCTGTCAGGTTCATTACAAAGATCCCTGCCGAACGACCCACAAAACCCACTACACTGACCGCCGAAAAGAAAACGTTGTTCCTCAAAGTCCCTTTCCAAGGAGACGCTGCAAGCGAACTCCTAAGGAGACGCCTTGACCAAGCTGTCTCGTGAACCTTCCCAACAGCAAGGGTTCGCATACCATTCTCCACCAACCCTATTCTACGCGGAGAAGGCCAAGGGTGGGCTGCCGCTTCAGACCGCCTCAATGTACATCTAATCATTCAATTGCTCCTATGGAGCAGGTTAAATTGGTCGTACGAGAGCACCTTCCCGCATGCCTGGAAAAAGGTGAAACTGGGAGAATAGACAGCGCCATCCTTGCGCATGCAGTGGATTCAGGGCATCGTGTGGACCCCGCTGAAGCATTTTGTGTGTTTTATAAGGTCCCCTCGAGCTACCTGAAGCTACTGGGCCAGCGCCTGTTAGCAGCAGCGGAAACAGCCGCCATCAGGTTACGAAAACTGACCTTATGTGCCCAGAAGAACCTCGTTCAGGCTCCGCGCTTACCGTGATCAAAAGTTGGCTAACCACATACAACTTTCTGTGCCCTTCCGCTCTTGCCTAGCCTGTACTTTAAAACCTAACTTTTATCGATTTTCTTCACTCACTTCACCCCGTCTCATATAACTATACTTGCGTGACGAGGAGTTTTCGAAAGCCACCTTTTCTTCTGAATTCCATACGTGTCGGTAGGCTTCGCGGCAAGCTTGAGCGAAATGTGGTTAGATTCAGGGCTTCTGGTTGGGCCTCGTAGCTCAGGTGGCTAGAGCATTAGCCGTACTCAAACCTCCCTCTTGTTGTCGTGGGTTCACTTCCCACCTCTGTCGCCGACTGTTTGCATAAATGGGTCAAAAGACTGATTCAAGATCTGTCAATGGCACCTGTTGATTGGCATCCCCTCGAATTGATAATATCAACCTGCATGTACAGAATTTATTGGGGCCAATAAATTTCGTGACGGCTTTTCAACTGCAACCCGTCTCTGCATAACATAGGTAACGAATGAAAGCGCACAGCAGTATGAATTTGTACAGAATGGCAGTGCATAGGAGCAAGGTCAAAGTTCACATGCACTTGCGGATGCAAGTACATTGGGCGAACGCAAAGGCAATTGGCAACCAGGGCCGCTGAGCATTTGCCTAATTGGCTTTTCAAACAGGAAAATAGAACCCCCCGTTCGTCTATAATGAAACACCTGTTAGATAGCGGTCATGTTGTCGACCCTAAAGCATCCTTTCGAGTACTTGTCCGAGCATGTACAACTCGAACCTTGCGTTATTTGGAAGCAGCCTACATACGGAGAGAGAAACCAGACCTGTGCAAGCAGTTAGATCACGTGATCAATCTGCAATTGCCCTGGTAATCTCATGTCTCTATTTTCCCCTGACTGTGATTTGTTGTTAAAATTTCGTCTCCCTTTTTCCTTTTTGATGCTTCTGTGGACGTCTTATCTGATTATTGATTGTTTTGAACTTTGACCTTGCTCCTATGCACTGCCATTCTGTACAAATTCATACTGCTGTGCGCTTTCATTCGTTACCTATGTTATGCAGAGACGGGTTGCAGTTGAAAAGCCGTCACGAAATTTATTGGCCCCAATAAATTCGGTACATGCTTGTTTTCAATTCATACCGGGGAAAAATGCTTCAAATATCAACCTGAACACCAAGTGCACCTCAGTGAAGCTTAGACATCCGAGTAGTCGACGCACGTGTTCTTCAAAAGTACATTCTGTGCCACGTCCACCCACACAATGACTCGTAAATCCAAACGTCTTCAGAAAAACCTAAGTCAGACAGTTGACATTCCTCTTGACCCAGTCC